GCCGCCAGCGCAGCCTTCCCGGCCCCGGGCGCGCCTCCCCCGGTGGGTGGGCGGGGACCGTGACGCGCGCCCACTGACGTCTCCGGAATCCCGGCGGCGGCGGCCGACGCAGCCTCATCAATGGGGCTAAAAATAGCGGCGCCCGGAATAGCCGTGAGCGCCCCGCCCCGCGCCCCCGCCCCCCCCCCCCCAACTCGCCGCACACCCAGTTACATAATCCTCCTCGCTGTGGCTGGGGTGGGGGAGCCGTTTTGCAGGTGAGGGTTCTGCGGCCTCGCTAACACCTTCCGAGGCAGCAAACCTGGAGCTGGGTTATAAATAAATTACCCAGGGGCTTCCCCGGAAACAGAGGTGGGAAAAGTGAGGCCCAGAGAGGCCCCGCGGCGGCCCAAAGTCACACAGCCATTAGGCTGGCTTAAGAGGTCAGGGCCCCCGCCCTCTGAGCCTTGGGCACCCTCACCAGCATCGATTGGTTGGCCTGCATGCCACCCCAAGGGCAAGGAATCCGACTAGCAGGACGCCCCAGCTTCCACACGGGAGGGCAGTTTAGAGAGGGAGAGCTTGGGAGGGTAAAATTTCTCCTGAAGAGAAGCGTTTCCAGAGGCGGTGGGAGTGCAAGGCCAAGGCTGGTGGTGGATTCACTGATCAGGCTGTTCCTGTACTATGGTGTGACAGAGGGCAAGTCACTTCACCTCTCTGAGCCTGGGTTTCCTTACCTATTAAATGAGGGTGATCATATTGTCCACCTTCTCTGGTTATCAGGAGACTGAGCAGCAGTGGAGAGGCCTTATACTTTCTTCTTACTCTCCTCTCCTCTAGGAATCCGACTTCCCCCCAGTCCACTGGAGTGCTCCCTGCGGGAAGTACACGAAGGCTCACCTCAGTGGCCAGGAAGCCCTGAGTGGCCCACCCTCTTCTGGCCATAGTCTCCAAGTCTCCTCAGTTAGAACCTTCCTGGGGGTGGGAGTACTTGGAAGGTTTCTCTCTCACCCTGGACTGGGACATTCTTTGGAGATGGGAGAACTACCTTGTTCTGAACATATCCTTCTGCCCCAACAGCCCCCCGCTTTTGGAGTGGCTGGTGCAGGGAAGCCAGGCCAACGCTGGAGCAGTGGGACTGGGGGGCTGGCTGGGGGGTGTGGGGTGTGGGGTGTGTTATAATGTCTGTTCCTGTACTGCCAGGCAGGCGAAGCTCCTGGGGAGGAGCCATTAGGCGGGACCCAGTCCTGTGCTCTGCTACACCAGCCACCAGCGCCTGCTCATTTTTGGAACCACCTTAAATTACAAGCATGCTATCATATCCCCAGCACAGAGGCCAGGCCCCACGCAACAAAGAATCTCTTCTGCATTCAAAACTCTCCAAAAGAGGCCCCACACCCCCACTCAGCCCTCATTCCAGGGGCCACATTCTTGTCCCCACCGCCCTGCCCAGCGGCAGAAATCCTTTTCTGGACCTGGTCCTTAACTGCTGCAACTCAGAAGCCCCTTTCTCTCCAGCCTCATCATGATCCCAAGAATCGCCGCTTTGTCTCAAAATCAAGGTTCTTCTCAGACCCTTTACATTCCTTTCCCAGATTCGACAGGGAATCTGGTGGACGCAGAAATAAAGAAACCGAGACTTCCAAATGGGCATTTTAAAGAAGCCACTACCCCCACCCTCTCTTTTTCTTTTTCCAGCAATCTAACTTTTGAAATACATTTTAAAAATATTTGCCTGTGTAGGAGAAATACATTTATTTGGACAGGAACAATTAAAAAAAAAATTAAAAAAAAGAAAGAAAGAAAGAAAAAGAAAACCTCAATTACCAGTTTTTCCATGAAGGCTTCCAGCCCACAGAGGTCTCTCCCTTCCATAAATACTTTAACACAACTTGGCTTTATATATCTTCTCCTGTTTTATAATCAAGTAAAACATATACTAAAATATGTAATGGCAAAACACACACACCTGTGTGGCTTATTGTGGCAGCTTGAGGTGGGAGAAGGAACTTGGGCTCAAGAGGCCTGGGATTGACACTGGTCCCACCTGTGACCAACTGTGTGACTTCAAGGAAGTTACTCACCTGGACTGGGCTTCAGTTTCTTCAGTTCTTCATTTGAAACAAGAAGATGAAAATGTACCCTTGTTGCGAAGAGTGTATCTTTGACGGTAGATACCAAGAATGTAGCGAGTAGGGGCCACCGGGGTGGCTCCGTCGGGTGTCCGACTGTGGTTCAGGTCATGATCTCACGGCGTATGACTTTGAGCCCCATGTTAGGCTCTGGGGCTCTGTGCTGACAGCTCTGAGCCTGCTTGGGATTCTGTGTCTCCCTCTCTCTGCCCCTCCCCTCCTCTCGCTTGCTCACTCTCTCTCAAAAAAAAAAAAAAAAGAATGTAGCAAGTAGTCTGGCACATAGTAGCAGACCTGCTATTTCTATACAGGAGGCCTTAGGGGAAGGCAGGCCTGGCCTGAGGACCCTATCTTGAATCTTCAGATGCAGACTACTGACCATAGTTTTGCCGAGCTGGTATGTTTATTTGGGGGCTTGAAGAGCTGCACAGGTGACCGAGGCAATACCACCTTTTAGTGTCATTACAGATGTCCAGTAAATTCCGGCCCTCTTGTTGCCTCTTTGACCCAGCTGGCTCAGCTAGCAATGTCCAAGCCAGGATCAGAGCCCGGGTCTTCTGACTCCCAGACCAGTGCTCTAGTTTCTACTCACCGTCTTGTTCCTTCATGCCTAGCCCCCCTTCTTTCTACACAAACTCCAGGAACACAAGCCCCTTTCCCCGATGGGAAAATTGACGAGAGAGAAGTTCAACCACTTGCATGGCTCAGGAGCTAGGACCAGAGGGGGGAAACAGGTGCTCTGGTCAGTTGCTGTGCCACATTCTGGGAAATTCCTAAGGGAGAAGGACAAGATCTTGCTACAGAAAGTTGCTTCCTAGTCTGATGGGGAGGTAGAACACGAGAACAGTTATGAACACATTGCCAGAAGACCCAAAAGGTAGCCTCCAAGAGGTCTCCAGCCGACATTGGGGTGGGAATCCAGAAGGTTAATCTGAGAGGCCTCCCTTGAAGAAGAGAACATGGGGCACTGTGTGAAGGTAAAGAGAGGACCAGGCAAGACACAGAGAAGGGAGCATATGCACATCGTATGGAGGAAAAGGCTGACTTCAGAGTTCTCAGATATGGGGTGGGGGCAGGGTTGAGACCCAGAACAACCAGCCAGACCTCTAGTGGTGTTCCCCACATGCCCCTCCAATCTCACAGTAGCAAAAAACGTTGATGCAACTCCACCCAGTCAGGGAGACACTATTCCACCTCACCTCCACCCTGGCCCAATGGGGTTGCCAGTAAAAGTATGTCAAGGGGGTTCCCCAGCCCTTTTGTGCCCGGAAGGGGCTCCCCTGCCCAGGGCCTAGCCCTGAGTGAGGAGAGGGGTTGTGGAGGGGATTCCCTTCGTGGTTCCTTTTCTCATCTGAGGATGGAGAAATACTTTGCAGGGGTCTCCCCACCCTTCCCCAGTTTTAGGAGCAATTAAAGGGGAAAATGGGGGTACAAAGACAGAGCAGGGCCTTCCTGGGGTTGTCCCAGGGATCAGGGTCCTTCCAGGGACACCACCCGGATGGGGTTACCTGCTCTGAATTACATAAGGATGAGGGGGCCTCGTACTTTAGACGGTACCTCCACATTTTTCTATTCCCTGGTTGCCATGAGAGGCCATCAGGGCTAGCAAGAAAAAGTGACCAAGTTCACCAGGCTGGAAGTGACAGAGCTAGAATTAATGCCAAGCTTTCCCCTAAATCCAAGCCAGGCTCTTTATTAAAAACAAGCAGAAAACCTCTATAACTTTATTTTTTTAATTACAGAATCAAACAGGCTCGTTGTAAACAAAGGCAAAACGTTACAGAACTACGTGATTTATGAAGCGAGAGGCTGGTAATCAACTCCCCAAGGAGTAGAGTTTGGTAATCCTCCGGTGTCCGCTTCCAGCTTTCTCTCCACGTCGCCGGAGATCAGGTCTGGCCCGGCGGGCCCTCCCCCAGGGGCCGGGACCGGAACGCCAGGCCGGAAGGAACAGGGCCGGGCCCCGCCGCAGCAGTGCAGCCTCGGCCGTGCCCCACGCCACCGTCCCGGGGGCGGCCGTGCTGCCCCGCGCCTGGCCCGGCTGGGCCGGGTGGGGCCCGGGGAAGCCGCTACGTCAGGAGGCGGACGGGAGGGAGCCCGCGCCGCCCCAGCCAGGCTTCCATTACATCACTCGGCGGCGCGGAGCCGCGCCGGGGTAAACACCGCTGCAAACCATTGGCCACCTTGCGGCCCTTCCAACCAATTACACGATTGTATGCAAATCAGCCGTTGGGCGTTTGCTTCCTTCTCGTCTGGTGCATGCAAATAGACGCCTTGGCGACGGCGGGGGCGGGGCCGGGGCCGAGGCCGGGGCGCGGGG